TTTTTTCTTATCCAATTCAAATTGTCGATAATGTGACATTACAGTGATACATGACAGTCTAACACTTTCATTAACACTTTAATCACTGATAAAAAAGTTATAAAATTATATTCATTGATTTACACAGAATTTAAATAGTACGCATTACATAATATAACATTCGTATATATATTACTTTTAATAAATAAAAGTGTTATATCACAGTGGCAAAGTGACACTATTAGATTTGAAAACAACCAAAGTCATTTAAAATTAAAAAATAATATTAAAAATGAATTTTAAAATCTGGATCAATTCATTAAGGTATATTACATGTGGAATAATTTTGAATATCAAATTCATTCAATTCCTTAAAATATAAAACTATTAATATAATAAATCAAATCCATAAAAAATGGAATTGACAAGTTAACAGGCCTTCAAATTGGGTTAGAAAACGTCACGGTTTTTAATATATTTTGGTTTGATCCTGGTAAGCCGGAAATCAAAAGCCTGCTAACAAGTCGCTTTAATAGCCCAAACCATAGACCAAGTCGGACCACACACTTGGAGCTAGAGACATTTCAGACTATTTCGAAAGCGGGCAATTCTACGGAAAAAAAAAAAACAAGAAAATTTGGAGACAAGTCTTTTTATATGAATTTGTTTGGACTTAAGTCCGTCAAAGAAACTTATTTGTTACGAAATTTATTTTTTATCAATTTTACTATACTATCTCTTCCTTTTACATGTGAAATAAAACTAAAAATTAAAAACTCCTAAATCTTAAGAATTTGACTAATATTAAAATATTTACTCTCTCATATCTATCTATATCCATATATAGGTTAAAAGTTTGACTAACATTAAAATTTTCTTTCTCTTTCTCTTTCTCTCTCTCTTTATATATATATATATATATATATATATATATATATATATATATATATATATATATATATATATATATATATATATATATATACATTAAAAATAAAAAATAGTAACATTCAAATATAAAAAAAAATTTATCATTTGGACACAAAAAATAATACATTTAAACGCAAAAAAATAGTAACATTTAAACATAAAAAAATTGAAACATTCAATATTAATATTTTTAAAAAATAACAACAGTAGCATGTTCAACAAAAATATTAATATATTCAACAAAAATAGTAACATGCTTAACAAAAACTATAACATACTTAACAATAATTATTTCTCTTAAATTCAAACGCAAAAAATAGTATCATTCAAATACAAAAAATAATAATATTCAAAAAAAAAAAATAGTAACATGTTCAACAAAAACAATAACATGAACAATAACATAATAAAAAAAATACTAACATGAATTTGAATTTTACTATTCAAATTCATAGTAACTTTTTTTTGTATTTGAATGTTACTAATTTTTTTAATATTAATATATATATATATATATATATATATATATATATATATATATATATATATATATATATATATATATATATATATATATATATATATATATATATATATATATATATATATATATATATATATATATATATGTGTGTGTGTGTGTGTGTGTGTGTGTGTGTGTGTGTGTGTGTAAGAAAGAGGAAAAATTTAGTCAAACTCTTAACCTATATATGGATATAGATAGATATGAGAGAGAAAAAATTAACTTCCTTTCAAGGAAGGGTATTTTTTAAATAAAAAAAAAGTGGACTTAAGTCATTACATATAATTTTAAACATGGACTTAACCTCTTATAAATTTTCTTAAAAGACTTATCTCCAAACAAGTATTTTTAGAAGGACTCATCTCCAATTTTCACAAAAAAAAAAAAAATTCAGTAACATATCTAAAGTTACTATTTTGAAGTCAAATTACATATTTTAAAAATAAAATTATAAATTGTTGAGATAATTTCATGGTCGATCATGAAATGTTATAATAAAAAAAAGTGTAACTTGACTTTTTATTTTTTCATTTTTGGTCGAGTAACTTGATATCAAAAAGGTATAAATTTCGGTATCTATAATAATCTTCCTCTTAGAAATTACACAAGTGTTATCGGATGCAATGATCAATTTAATACCTGTTTCTTATGGGAAAGATAATATAGTAATGCTATATTGACTAAAATTAGAGATCAAATAAAGAGCACAAATGACATGACAGTTGTTGAAATGACAAGATTAACTGTCATATCACCAAAATCTTTTCGTCTTCTCCAAATGAAGGAAAGATGGGGTGCAATCTTTTCACCGTCTCCACTTCCATAACATGCATAGAAAAAAAAAAAGAAGAGAAAATGAATGACATATTAACAACTGTCGTATCATTTAGTCACTATTTTTGATCCCTAATTTTAGTCGGTGTAACATTAGTCTTATCGAATATAATAATATCAAATAATTATTCACCAAGTCCATCACTACTACTGTCAGAACAATGGCCGGCAACTTGCATTGTGTGAGCTCACACACAGTACTGTCTAAACTTCCTAGAGCTTTTTAATTGTCTCCATCACTAAAACTTAAAACAATGACTACATAAAACTGAAACCATTCAAACACACTCGTCAAGCATAGTGAAGACCATGATAGGGTTTTGTTTAATTAATGTTCCCATTTTCCTCGGCCAACGATTTTCACAACCCAAACAAGTTGTCAACTTGGGAACCTACGCCACTTCAACATCATATATATTGAGCTGTCTACAGTATTTTTGTTAGTAATTGTTGAACAAGTAATGTCACATAGACTCAAAAATTAGATTTAAAAATTAGACTTGATAATCTCAACCATTAAATAGGTAGTGGGTCCCAATAAATATTGGGACTTACAATGAAATCAATGGTTGAGATTATCAAGTCTAGTTTTTAAGTTTACTTTTTAAGTTTATATAGCATTACTATGAATGAATTGGCCAAACATGCTATGCACATTCTGTTTGTGCTGTCACACTATCATTGGTCAATGTCGATTGCGATGATCAAATGCTCTCAACTTGTAAATGACCACACCCCACACATGTTACTTCAATTGGCGTATGAGAAATGTAATATGAACTCGAATATCTTAAGTTTAGATACTTTTAATTTGTCTGCATTGAATTCAGATTTAATCGATTAATGATTGATTTAATTCATTTGAAATTCGGGTTTCAACTATGAATATAAAATATGAGTGGTTGAGAACTTGATTGTTATAACTCAATTTGACATAGATGATCCTGTAAAATCTTGATTGTATTATTTTTTTTTTGTCTGATTGTGTTAGAACGAACTTGACCCGTCGAAGTTCTAACTCAATTTCAAATTAGCAAGTGTAGACACCATACATCTTAGTTCATCTTCATTATAGAATCGACTAAAATAATATACAAAAGAATATTAGGAGGGTTATATTGAAGAAGGTAAACTCCCCACTACATGTGTTTGCATTGTGCTCACTGCTCAGTGTTAATGATATATCACATTGTATTTGGACATCTCACGCAATGTGCTCACATTCTTTGGCTTACCACCAAAACGTGCACACAACAAACACTTTGAAGAATGAGTTAAGCCACCTCTCTCTCTCTCTCTCTCTCTCTCAGTGAAAAAATGACAGATACCTCAACGACAGAACCTGCTAATTCACAACTTAATTAAAGTGGATCTCACAACGACTGAGTAACATAGTGGCATGACACAAAAAAATGAATAATGCTATTTAGACCTAAAAATTTGATTTAATTTGTTGATATAAAAATGTGGTTTTATAGAAATTATTAGATAAATACCAAATTTTAATGTTTGATTGGATCTACCGTCAATCTAAATGTCACAATAAATTAGGTCAGTAAATTAAATCCTAATAGCATTGCTCCAAAAAAATTACCCTTTTCTGTGTATTGGATATCGATCTCACTCTTGAATATAGATCTCATGCCTTTTTGTTTAGAGCAATGCTATACAGACCTTATTTGAAAATTTTATAAAAGGATCTAATGATATTAGTTGTGAGTTTCAATATTAGATAAAATTCACAATTAATCTAATGGTTGTACATTATTAGATCCCTACATAAGGTTCAAATAGTATTTTCCTTCTATTTATTATGTCAGCGTAGCTGTGTTCATGGTAAAACAATGTTGTTAGACTTAATTTATTGATCTATTTTATTACAATTATTAGATTGACTATGGACCCTATCAAACATTAAAATTTAGTTTTGATTCGATAATTATAATAAATTATATCATGAAACTAACAAATCATAACAAATTTTTAAGACTAAATAGTATTTTCTTAAGTATGTCAATGGACAACCCAGCCTCAATATGTATACTCTTTCGGTTAGTCAAGAAAGTTAGGAAGCAAGTGATGAGTCAGTTGCTTTGGTTAAGTGCAAAGGGTGGGCAGAGAGGTACAAGTGAAATGAACCATTTGAAAAATTGGAAACTAGTTTCAAACCGATAGACATAACAAAAAATACAGGTGGATACATATGGGGAAAGTCAGTTACCAACTCATCTTTCCTATCCGTTTATTCTTTGTCTTTTAATGAAACACACGTAGATGCAGTTTCTTACCTTTGTATTGCATTAAAAAAACAGGAGAAACCTAATCCACGACTTCTGATTGTGGTGCTGGTATTCCCAAACCAGTTTGGCCAACCCCCCCAATTCACTCTCTCTCTCTCTCTCTCACACACACACACACATACTCTTACTTTCAGACACAGACACTCACTCACACTTACTTGAGTGTTACACATCGCTCTCCCACTCAAGAAAGAACATAAAAACAAGTTTGTAAAGAGAAAAGAAAATGAAAAGATGCCCCATCACCCACTTTTCGTGAATGAAAGGCAACCATGAACACTAACCACTTACTTACTCAAAGAATTCAACTTCAACAAAGTAGATAATCAACATGGGAAAAAAAAAAAAAACTTCAATATAACAAACAATTTAAAGAATTTAAAATTATGAACTTTATAGAATCATAATAATTGTAATAGTTCACATTCATCTGGGTATCAAGTATTAACCCTTTGTTCCTAGTAATGGCAATCGACCAAGGCCGGGGCGGAGAAGACGAGATGTCGTTGGTTGGATTTGATTTGAAACTGCGAATCTGGGAGATCATCTTCTGGTGCCGGAAGGTTAAGATCCAATGGTAGAATATTTCTTGGTTTTTCACCTTCATGTGATGACTCGGTATTAATTTTATCGAGTCTATCTACATCTATTGTGATTTGAGTACTTGTGGTAGTTGTTCTATGTCGCCTCATGTGCCCACCCAAGGCTTGGCCAGTTGAAAATTCTGATCCACATATCGAACACTCATGAATCTTAGATTGTTTATTACCATGAAAACTCTTGATCTTATTGAATTGCCTTTCACTCTGATCATCATCATCATGTAATGGCAACACTGCAACTTTTTTCTCTTCCACCATGACCTTAGGTTTCTTGTGACTCGCTCGGTGGCCGCCTAAAGCTTGGAACGAAGGGAACGTCCGGTTACAGGTCTTACATTCGTAAACATAGAACCCGGCCTTACCGGTTGTCGTGGTGATTGTCTCAGTGAATCTTTGGCTGCTAAACTGTTCAATCTTAGCCTCTTCTTTTTCTTCTCTTGGCCATCCACCTTGAGCCAGAAGAATTAGGCAATTGGCCATGTCTTCGTCTTCCTGGGTGCTTGCAGCAGATATTTCACCAGAGGTAGTAGGAGATGGGATTAATGAAGAAATATCACCTCCTCCTCCATCTCCACCGCTGCTACCACCACCGTAACCACTGGAAGAGCTAGAGTTCACTGCCATGGAAACCGGGGACAAAGGCCTTTGACGCTTTGTACGCTTACCCTTAACGATCTGCGACTGCGAGTGATCATTAGACCCTGTGAATTCTTCGGGGGATTCCTTGTCCATTCCAAGACCACCAAAGATCATTGAAGGTAAAAGAACCGAAGAAACTAAGAAAGCAAAGAAGAGTGATGGAGGAAGAGAGATGGGATAGTGGGGGTTGTTATATATGCCGAAGGATGCAAGTGTTTGGGGCCAAAAAGCCGCCCCCGTGAGCAGATACTTTGAGTTAGTCTGATACCACCAGTTTTCCTTGCGTTTCCAATTTCGAAAGTGATTTTTTTTAGAGTAACGTTGTATGGGATATAAAATTAGACTTATAATTATAATTATTGAATCAGTAATTTTATATTGATCAAATTTTGAAATTAAATTTAAAGTTCAAATGACATGACAATATATTATTTAGAGTCTTTATTGAGGCTCAAATGACATGACACCAAATAAAGAAGTTGAAGTCAGTTGTCATGTCATTTGGGTTTTAAATTTGGTTCTCAAATTTAGTCAGTGTAGTATTACTATGATTGAATGGATAGTGGGTCTCAACAATAAATCAATTATTGTAATTATCAAATCTAATTTTTAAGTCCGTGTATCATTACTCTTTTTTTTATGCTCATTTTTCGTTTTTTTAACTGTCATGGGTGTTTTGAGTTATTTTACACATATTTTAACTAATTTTTTTCCGACTCAATCAGAGGCAAAGTAAAATATTTATAAAAAATAAATTTTTCGTAAAGTGACCTCAAATAATTATCAATTGCGAAGTTATGATCAACCAAACCCTCCTATTTTACTAAAGGAGGCTGCGACTATAGGTGAAAACCAGTGACGAAAAGTGTAAAGGAGAGAAAAAAATGACCAAGGCATTAACATAGGAGGATTGGGTTTTTTTTTTTTGCTTATGGTTTTGGCTAAAAGTACTTCACCTCCTTAACGTTTAAAATTATGCACACATTATCCCTTGTAATTATGTATCAAAGTGAAATGATTACTTTTATCATCCAAATTAATCGAGAGTGTACTCCACATGTCCAAAATATGTTGTAGACTTTATTTCTCTCTAAAAGAATATTTTTTAAATGTCTGAAATATCCTTTATAATATATTGTATAATATCCAAATAACTAGGACATCAATACCATATCAACAAATATGTAAGAAAAAACATAAATAATTTTTGACCCCAAATCAAAACTTCACATGAGGGAAAAAGAGATTCAACATAATTAATTAAAATGTGTTGGTTTGTTGTTATGTTTCATTAGTTTTATAATTAAGAGTAAATCAAAAGAAAAGTCTAATTTTAAAACGTGAGTATTATGGTAATTTTTTAATTCTATTAATGACATTATTTATATTTATAAGAAGATAACGTACATAATTTTAAATATCAAATAGATAAAGTGTTTCAGGCTAAAACCACAAAAAGTGAAAAATAATTAACCTTTTTTTTTGTTGTTGCAATAGGAGGGTTGGTTGTTTTAAGGCGGTTTCGCAATTCTTTCTCACGGTTTTGCCAACAAAGTCATGAATAAACACCACCATTAAAGCAAGGGATTGCACATTACAAGCATGCTCCACCTCATTTACTCCATGTCTTCTTAAAGTTTAGGAAAAGGTACTTAGTCTGAGGAGGTGAGGCAAACAACTGAGATTCGGTTTTCTTTCAAGCAAAACCCACAAATCTTTATTCAAAAACCATACTTATAAATTAACAGAAAATTGGATCTCTCTCTCTCTCTCTCTATGGTGATAGGGCTCTATGTATAGGGACCCAAGAGTCCATGTCAAGTGGGCTTGGGGTGGTGAGGAGAGCGTGTACACCATACAGGTACCTGTCATGGAAGTGAGACTATTATTAAATAGTGTGTTGTGATTAACAATTTATTGGTTGAACACCTCTTAATGAATTTACCTCCCTATAATGGCTTCTTTATTCTACATTTACCCTAGGAAACCCTCATTTCAACTTTTTATGTTATATTCCTCTAATTTTTAAGTCTTCTTGTACTTATTCATACTGTATTTTCAGCTCCAAGAGAAAACGACAATTAGTAACCAAAATCAATAAATGACACAACCCACTAAAGAAAAATTGCTATTTTTATTTTATTTATTATATCCTATTAATTGCTACATAACTTCTTATGGGTTTCTCATTTGGTTTTGATAGCTTATGAATCAAGTGGGTTATTAATTAAGTTATCAAAGGCCTATAATTGGTGTCCCTATTTGAGAAGCAATGAAAAAGTCTGTCCAAACTAACCTATTGATTTAAACTCGTGACGTCCAAATCATAAGAAAGTAATTTTTGTGCCAAGGCAGTCACGGTCTTGGACTTCTCATTATTAGCTAATACCCTATTTTGGAACTTTTTCCCCCAAATGTCAAGTTGGTAAATTCAAGATTAATCAGTGATTTGCAGGACTTAATACACTTTGGAAATGGTGGAGAAAAGCATAATCACAATAAGCCTTGGAATCAAATTATTATCCGATCACAAAAATGTCTAGTTTTAGTATCTTTAAAAATCATTGTGAACCTCACTCACACATATTCCTTTTAGACTTCGAGTGTTGTAATTTATTAAGCCACGCTATGTGTACACTCATTATTCTAACTAACAAAACTTCATGTAATAATAAGCAACAAGAATTGAGTCAACCCTCCATCACATAAGACAAATGATGGCTCGAAATAAATCATGTTATCTCTAACCTAAGCTGTGTGTACCTATAATTTCTTATAATAAAATGCATTCATCCCATTGTTGATACCGGCAAGACCCAGTCAAATGATTTCTGTTGGTTGATAATGAGATGAATCTTAGTGGTCGTATATACACAAAAGGGGGCGCTAGTTAAAAAAGCAATCATTTGATTTTGTTTCTTTGGCTCTCTCTCTCTTAGTAGAGCATATAATGTGGAACTAAATATATGGACCAAATTGCTTCCAAGGCATTTTTGGTTCCAGGATACAGAACTAGATTGATACTCTATCCAATTCAATTTATACTGCTCGGATTTGTATCTCTTGTGATTAACGTAGGTCTTGTACTCTCCTGTAATCCCACTCCAAAATTAAACACACGGATAACCATGTGCGGAACCACTAACAGCTTAAATAAAGGCCAAACTAAATAAAGACATGTGAGTGGTTATGAGAAGAATTGTTTACCCCAAAAAGAACCAACACCATAGAAAGAATAGGCAAGGTAACCAAGTCCAATGGAGTTCCAAACTTGCCTGGCAAAAAGTCAAAGAGATTTTGGGGGTAGGGGTAGATGAGGGCAGATTCTTGGCATAACAAATTAAAGTGGTTGATTGTGTGAGGCACGTAGGGGTAGGGTAATGGTGCAACGCCACCGGTACGCTGTTGTTATTATGGTAGCGGGGGACAAGAAAAGCATAATTCTTTCTTATTTGTCCACCCTATTCTATTAGGGACATTATTATACGAATCTCCACAAAAAAAAAAAATTTAGTTTACCGAGAAAAATATTCCTATTATAAGTATAATGTTGTGGTTAGTTCAACAAGAGACGGTTTGAAAATTGAATTTAAAAGGGATATATATGTAAGAAATTAACGTGCTCTTACTCAAACCTTGCGGGTTTGGACCAATGTTAAGGGATCAAACCACATCTCAAGCAAATATTTCTTTCGACAAATCATATTTTAATTTAATGATTCTCTCTTTTTTAAAAAAAAAAAAAAAAAACTAACTGTGACTCAAGTGTGAGCCCAATGTCCACTAAGGCCTATTGATGCAACTGTTAATCTATAGCTTTTTGGTAGGTTATTTATGGGGCATTCAGTAATTCTACACACAGGCCTACCCAAATCCGTTTACTTATACAACATGTACCGTTACGGTAACATGTACTATTGTAAATCCTTTCTCTTTCATCTCCAACGTCACTTGGGTAGAGAAGCTTTTGAGCCACTCATTTGAACATGCTCACTGCAACTTCCATGTAAGCTGACTAAATAACAAATTAACACTAGACCCGACCCGACCCAAACCGAACCCGAGACGTTATAAGTTTAATTAAAATTAACAAATTCCATTACCACTAAGTTGACAACCCACGGTTTTCAGTAAGAAAACCAGGGTTGAAAACTTGATTGCTTGGAGGAATACATTGCAAAAATCCATTCTTTCAAATCAACAACCATAATGCATGCAGTGTACAAAGGGGTAGACTTCAACTCAACAAGAAATAAAATTAAATAAAGATTAAGTCAATGGTAGGATGAAGGCACAACAAAAAATATAATATCTACAGAAAACACCTTCCTATTATCTCCACCAACTTATTTTTTTCTTTTTTCCTTTTTTTTTTTATTTTTAATTATGATGATCAATGATTCTTATTTCTCTAAGCAAATTTCAGTATAATATTTATTTATTATACACACTGCAAAAATATGATTTAGACATCTAAAAAAGTTGAGGCTCCCATGACCAATCGGCGGTTAGAAATTTTCATACATGGATAGGGTAGTAATTAAATTAAATATGTGGTGTTACCGTTACATTCAATATTTTTTTCACTATTTGATGTAGGATTAAAAAGTGATAGATAACCTTTACTTATTTTGAGACATGTTTGACAATTTTAGGTAAATAGTTAATTTGGGTTAATTACATAATACTCCCTTTAAGTTTAGGAATATTTTAATTAAGTTAAGCAGTTACTTTTGATAGTGAAAAATGATAGAAAACATTCATTTTGCAAATCACATGATCTCAAATTCTACGAAGAGACAAAGACCACTCTTCAAATTATTTTGCCTTGGTAAAAAGAATGGGGAGTCATTTAATGTGAGGAAAAATTTAAATTCCATGTAATTTTCTCTTTTCAATAAATCTGAGATCACGTGACTTAATTTTCATTTTTTTTCATTGTCGAAACTAACAATTTGAATTAATTGAATAAATGTACAAACTTTGAAAGGATAATTTGTTGAAATTCAAACTATAGGGAGCTAATTGCAACTTGATCCAAACTTGAAGGGGGCATTTTATAACTAACCCACATTAATTTCAATCCATCCTCGAGCTCTAAAGCTCTTGATCCTCGTTGCTGCACTCATCAATCTTTAGCCCTACTCAATTTTCTCTTTACTCAATACTCTCCTTATCTTTCCATGTGTCAAAGGTATTGATGAGACATTTCTGGGAAAGGCTAGATCAAACGACACGTGCCCTC